TCCTCTGCATAGCCACCTCTTCCCTGGGTCCTTCCCTCCCATGCATTTCTGCCCCTTGAGCTGTTTCCCTGTGCATACACAACCCTTCTATTCTCCCATGATTGTTCGCTCCAAGTGATGTATCTACCTAATGTAAATGTTCACCTCATATACCTGTCTTATGTTTGACTGGAAGCCACAGGAGTCAGTTCAGTTCCAGACCTGAAGGGCAGCTAGGGGCCATAGTCTCAGGGGTTCCACCAGACTGTACCAGACCAGCAAACCTGGTCCTTTTTTTATTTTTAAATGATTTTGAGTTTTGTTCCACATTGTTCTCCCACTCTATCCAGGACCGATACCACCATGTTTTGACTACCATGGCTGTGTAGTAGGTTTTGAGACCTGGGAGTGTGAGGCCCACCACTTTTTCCTTTTCTTTAGTAGGGCTTTACTTGTCTGGGGTCTCTTCCCTCTCCATATAAAGTTGGTGATTAGTATTTCCATCTTTTTACGGAATGACAATAGAATCTGGGGAGTACTGACATTTTCACAATGGTAATTCTTCTCATACATGAGCATGGTATGCTTTTCTATTTATGTAGATCTTTTTTGATTTCTTGTAGTAGCATTTTGTAGTTTTCTTTGTATAGGTCTTTTGTATCTCTGGTTAGATTTATTCCTAAATGCTTCATTTTTGGGGTGGTTATTGTCAGTGCTTTTGTTTTCTTGATTTTCTTTTCAGAGTTCTCTTTGTTAGTGTAGAGGAATCCAACTGATTTTTGTATGTTGATCTTGTATCCTGCCGCCTTGCTGAATCTTTCTATAGTTCCAGTAGTTTTCTTGTTGAGTCTCTGGATTTTCTATGAACAGGATCATTGCATCGACAATTTACCAATTTGGATGATTTTTATTTCCTTTGCTTGCTTTATTGCTCTGGCTGGGACTTCCAGTACAATATTGAATAGGAGTGGTGATAAAGGGCATCCATGTTGGATTCCTATTCGCTAGGGGAGTGTTTTCCATCTCTCTGTGTTGAAAATAATGTTGACTATTGGTTTTGTCTGTATGTCTTTTATTACATTGAAAAATTTCCCTTTTATTTCTATTTTGCTGAGCATTTTTTAAAAATCAAGAATGGGTGTTGGATTTTGCCAAATGCCTTTTTTGCATTGATTAGTATGATCATGTGATTCTTTTCTTTTGTTTTACTTATGTGGCAGATTACACTGATTGCTTTTCTGATGTTGAACTATCCTGCATACCTGGTGTGAATCTTACTTGGTCAGAATGTATTATTATTATTTTTTGATATATTATTGGATTCTGTTGCCTAAGATTTTGTTGAGAAGTTTTACATCTATGTTCATGAGGGATATTGGTCTATAATTTTCTCTTTTTAGTGATGTCTTTGTCTGGTTTCAGTATCAGGGTTTTGCATCCTGCGTGGAATGAATCCATGAGTATCCCATCCTTTTCTATGTTGTAGGATAGTTTGAGTAGAATTGGTGTCAACTCTTCTCTGAATGTTTAGTAGAATTTGCCAGTGAAGCTATCTGGGCCAGGATATTTTTTGTTGGGCGCTTTTTAACTTCCTGTTCAATGTCTTCTTTTGTGATAGATCTGCTCAAATTTTCTACCTTAGATTGCACTAGTTTGGGTAGGTAGCGTGTTTCTAGAAGTTTGTCCATTTCTTCTAGGTTTTCAAATTTTTTGGAATACAAGTATTCATAGTATTCTGTTGTTACCCTTTTTATTTCAGTTGATTCTGTTGTGACATTGCCTATTTCATTTCTTATTTGTGTTGTTTGCATCGTCTCCTGCTTTTCCTTTGTTAACTTTGCCACTGGTTTGTCAATTTTATTATTACTTTCAAAGAACCAACTTCTAGTCTTATCGAATCTTTCTGTTGTTTTTCAGTTTCATTGATTTCTGCTCGAATCTTCATTATTTCCTTTCTTCTGGTGTTTGTTGTTGTTGTTAGATGCCATCAAGTCAGCTCTGACTCAAAGCAACCCGATGTGCAATAGAACAAAGCACTGCCC